TAAACTCTACGGGCATTTCACACCACATTTCACTATCTCCTCCGCTCAGCGTTTTCAGGCCCGTTCAACCATGTGTACAATTTTGATCTTTAGGCTTTTAAAACATCTATGTACATGTTGCATATGCTTAAATAATCATGTCAATTATAATTGCACATGTATCCAAAGCATATAGAAAGGTGTTATTTAGGAATACCGTATACAAAAGATTTTTTTTCTGTTGTGAATGAAATCATTGTGTTTCACACTTTTGCGTCATTCTGTTAACCTTTTGAAATCACGCCGTATTAATGTACGTCAGAGGACTTCACTATGTTCAAAATATGTCATTCACACAGCCGCACATCGCAAAGAATGTTCATAAGCTCTGACTCCCATTCCCCTCCCTGTGTAAAAAAAAAAAAAAAAAAAAAAACAATTTGTGTGTCCATCGAATTCCACTATACACGTTTTCCACCCATTACCTTGTTTGTTTTTCCCCGGGATCAACGCATAAACACACTGCTCCAATTTACACATTTCCACACTATAGCCCAAAGGTTTGAATATAACATGCGTGTCAATTAAAAAAATATGTTCCCTCGTGCATTTTTTATAAGGATGGGATGAGTCTGCCACACCGGAAGTTCCAGTATAACTCTACTTTGTTCACTGTGGAAATATTCAGCGAAATGAAATATTAAGCCTCACTTTTGAGCGTTATAGATCAGCTGACGGCATTTCCCATAAACCCGGCGCTCGCTGTTTTCCCACGCACATGTACGTGATTCCGTGTGACCGTCATGGGAGGTTTTCGTCATGTCATGGGAGGTTTTTCGTCATGGGAGGTCATGTCGCATGGCTTTTGAGCGAATTGCTGCTTCCTTGTTTTCTAAAGTTCTGGGAAAGTTGTTGTAGGTAGTTAGCAATATTGAGAGAGAGAGAGAGAGAGAGAGAGAGAGAGAGAGAGAGAGAGAGAGAGAGAGAGAGAGAGAGAGAGAGAGAGAGAGAGAGAGAGAGAGAAGAGAGAGAGAGAGAGAGAGAGAGAGAGAGAGAGAGGAGAGAGAGAGAGAGAGAGAGAGAGAGAAAGAGAGAGAGAGAAGAGAAGGAGAGAGAGAGGGAGAAAGAGAGAGAAGAGAGGGAGGGAGAGAGATGAGAGGAAGGAAATATATATATTTATATATATACATACGTACATACATTAAGAGAGAAAGATGGAAAAAATGAAAAATGAAAAGAGAAATAAAATGAATTAAAAAAGAAATAACCTGTACACTTCCCCCCAAAAAAAAAAAGGAGAAAGAATCGGACAAACAGAGAAGAGCAAGAAAGAGAACGAAGACGAAGAAGAAGAACAACAACAAAAGCAAGCAAAGAAAGAAAGAAGAAGAGCGAGCGGCGTCGACCAGTTCGACTTCGTTCAGAACTTGGACACTTTATTTCTCCAGACGTCGAGAAGAAAGCGTAAAAAAAAGGAAAAAAAAAGAGAGTTCCTTTCAAGTACTAAGTTAGGGGAAGTTGAGTCAATATGAATACTGCCTGAATAAAACATGGCGAGAACGGCTTTCCCTGTGACGAATGTGTGAGTTAAAAAAAAAAGAAAAAAAGAATTGGCAACGCTGAGATGTCGGGGTGTCGGTTGCGTCCGCTGGTGTGAAGGTCGGGATTTTTTATTTATTTTAATTTTTTGGTTTCTGTTTTTTTGTTTATTTGTTTGTTGTAACGGTAGTTGTGGAATTCTTGTTATCATTGTTATTATTATCATTATCTTCATCAATAGTAGTAGTAGTGCTGATATTATATATTATTATAAACATTATCATTATCATTATTACTATCATTTTCATCCTTGCCATTATAATTATTATTAAAATCATTATTACTACCACTGATATTCCTTTTATTGTCATCATTATTGTCATTATCATTATCATCATCATCAAATCAAATATCATTATCCTTATCCTCATTGTCATCATTAATATTGTGATTATTATCACTACCATTTTCATCATCCTCATTATGCTTATCATCATTTACTACTTATTTCAATTTATCTATTTTTACACTTCCCTTTCTCTCTCACTTTGCTATTCTCTCCTCCCCCCTTTTCCCATTCTCCTTCCCTCCTTTTCTCTCTGAATTTTCCCTCTACCTCTCCATATTTTTCCTCTTCCCTGTTCAATATCTCTTTCACAGAAAAAAAGAAATATCGCTACAGGAATTAAATGCGTTCGTTCATGCCACATAATTTCCCCGAAAAAGGTTTTTATAGAACAAAAAAGTCGTGAATCTCTCTCGCAAGTCGACGTTCGCTTGTTCGAGGAGGAGAAGAGGCGGGAAAAAAAAAGTTCGCGCCAAATTTTTAAAAAACTCTGAGGTTATGATTTAATTTTCTCTAATGCTTGGCTTTATTCTTATTATTATCTTTTTTTTTGCGTTGTTGATGTTTGTTTCTTTTCTCCTTATCTATTATACTTCTTCATCATTGTTTAATTGTTATTATCAATCCTTATGATTACTTTTTATCGGTTACCTTTTATCATCATGACAATCATTACAACAATGACAATAATATGAAAAGTGATAATATTAATAGAGTTAGATTAAGATTCTCATAGATTTCCCATTATGTTATGTGTATTCTTCAACATCATACTTTTCAATTATCATTCCAGAAAAGAGAATAGAGCACAGGACGATATATAGAGAGAGAATAGAGAAAAAACGAGAGAAAAAGAATAAAGAAAGTAAAAAAAAGACATAATAGACAAAAAAAGTTAAAGACAGTCCCGCAGCATATAACAACAGACATAAAATACACTTCTTATGTACAGCAAAAAGGAGAGAAATCAAGCCCGCCATTTTGTGGTATAGGATTACAGGCGTAAAATTTAAAGGTAATGTGCGAACTGCTTGACTTGAAGTGATTTGAAGTTAATAAAGCTATCATTTTTGGCTTTGATAATACAACATAAAATCACATTAAAAAGATCGTACATCCACGCAATCACACACACACGCATAGCAAATACATACATACAAACGCACACAAACAAACGCACACACACAAAGAAACAAACACACATACACAAACAAACAAACAAACACACACACACAAACAAACGAGCGATGGACGAAACACGAATTATGATATGACTGTTATTAATATTTATACTTTTAGTATTAGTATCAATATCATCAATGTTATTGTCATTGATATTATTATCTTTCATATCATTATTAACATTATTGTTAATATTACTATTATTATTATAATTTTTATCATCATCATCATTATCATTATTGTTATTATTATTATTAACTGTTATTTTTATTCATTTTTTATCATTAGTAGTAGTAGTAATAGTATATCACTATTAAAGAGAGAGAGAGAGAGAGAGAGAGAGAGAGAGAGAGAGAGAAGAAGAGAGAGAGAGAGAGAGAGAGATGAGAGAGAGGAGAGAGAGAGAGAGAGAGAGAGAGAGAGAGAAGAGAGAAAGAGAAGAAAGAGAGAGAGAGAAGAGATAAAGCAAAAGCGATAGAGAGAGAAAAAAATAGAGCAAGAACGATACAGAGCGAGAGGGAGAGAGAGAGAGAGAGAGAGAGAGAGAGAGAGAGAGAGAGAGAGAGAGAAGAGAGAGAGAGAGAGAGAGAGAGAGAGAGAGAGAGAGAGAGAGAGAGAGAGAGATAGAGAGAGAGAAGAGAGAGAGAGAGAGACGAGAGGAAGAGAGAAGAGAGAGAGAGAGGAGAGAGAGAGAGAGAGGAGAGAGAGAGAGAGAGAGAGAGAGAGAGAGGAGGAGAGAGGCATGAGGAGGAGAAGAAGAGAGAGAGAGAGAAGGAGGGAGAGAGAGGAGAGAGAGAGGAGGAGGGCGAAGAGAGAGAGAGAGAAGAGAGAGGAGAGGAGGAGAGGGGGAGGGGAGGGAGAAGAAGGTGTAAGAAGAGAGAGGAGAAATGAGGAAGAGAGAGAGGAGGGGGAGGAGGAGAGAGGAGAGAGGAGAGAAAGGAGAGGAGAGGAGAGAGAGAGGAAAGAGAGAGAGAGAGGAGGAGGAGAGAGAGAGGGGGGAGGAGGAGGAGGAGGAAGGATTTGTGAGAGAGATGGAGGAGAGAGAAGAGATGAGAGGAAGAGAAAGAGTATGAGGAGAGGGAGGAGAAGGAGAGGGGAGAG